TCTAAGCACCGCCGTGAAAAAGTGTTTCTAGTAGACCATCATGCAGTTAGACGTTTCACACTGCGCCTTACTGTATGCGGTATGACGCAAATGCCTTGTGCATTATTTTGCGAGCTTACATAAATTGTCAAACAAAGACGGGTTATTTTTACACCTGGCACTCCCACCTGGGCGCTCTGACATTTTAACTGTGCTGATGCGCGCTATTCTTGAAGAGCTCTGACACCGCTCGTTGGGAACAGATGCGCTGGATAATGTCCCAGACGCTTTGCCTTGAACTTAAATTAGACGGAGTGTCTTATTTAGAGACTGTTTTATCGTCCAGTGACTATTTCGCGCTTCAAAGTCGGTCGCCTGTCAGTTTCAGTCAGTCATACCGTAGCATCGCACATTGTACGGCCGAAAAGTTAGGAGGACCTCATAGAACATATTTAAACATTCATTTTCTAAATTTGAACGACACAAGAACAACGACGCAACCGGGAGGGCTGCTGCTTTCAGAAGATGGACGGGACGTTGCATTTTGGGAAATGCTAGCACTCACAAAAATTGCATCTGTGATGCACTGATACTGATACAGGCAGAATATTCATATCACTGGTTCGTCACGTTGTGATAGGGAAAATTGCTCCTTGCATATGATTTCGTCGGACCACGGAAAAACGATAAAAGCCTCATGCCGTTATGCGTATGTGTCCTTTCCTCCCGGCTCATGCAGGTTCACGTTCATGGCGAGTTGAATGGTGAATATACCTCCCTCCCACCCCACCCCGTCGGCTTCCCCAGCGGTGATTGGTCGCGGACGATTGACCTACTCGACTCTTTGACCGCCGTCGGGACCGAGACATCGTCCCAGCAGCGACCGCACATGGTCTGATGGGCTCAGCGCGGCCCGCATATCCATTAAATGGTTATCCATTAAATGGTGAGCCCACGCCTGACGATGGACGGTAACGAATGTCAGGGCATATTTTAACAAATTTTTACTGCGTCCCAAAGTTGAGCAGAGGGCACGTGCTACGACTAAGGGCACAGGGCAAGGAACAGAGTAGGGCACTGAGGAGGGCAGAAAGTAGGGCGCGGCAGGTTGTGGGTCATGGCACAGGACATTTTAGAGGGAAGGCCGGGTATAGGTCAGGGCAGACAGCAGGGCACAGGTCAGGGAACCGGACAGGGCAGGGACGCAGTGGGCCAAATCAGCAGGGGCTACGTCACAAGGCGAGGGGGCTGCGTCCCAAAATGGGACGCAGTAAGTGCCTTAAAATATGCCCTGACGAATGTTGATTGGATTTTAAACAAATTTATTGAGGAAAAATCAGGATGATTGCTATGCTGCTTGAACAGGGCGCATCATTACAGGAATATTATTATCCACATCCGTATATCCAAAAATATTCATTGAATAGGGTGCAGTGTTACTGGAATATTATCCGGGTTTCTAGACGCAATTATAATTATATAATGCGAGGCAGGTAAACGTTGCATTTGATGATTCGGTTGATCCTCCCGCTAGTTCGACAGAACGATAACATCGCTTCCGGATATGCGATCATGGATAATGCTACATCTTTCAATCATTAAATTGTTGGTTTTCGAAAGACGTGACGAATCTGAGTTCCTAAAGGAAAATTTATGGTTGGCTCGGGTTATAAGAAGATCGAAACCGGTATTTACGGTGCCTCGTCAGTTAAACACATACAACAATATAGGCAGGCATGCCAGTGGCAGGCGAATGATGTGGTACTCAATGGATTATCGTTCCTGCATCAAACGACTACGAAGTATGTTAGATTGGCACTGGATGCTACTACGTTTTTCAGCGACATGGACGGACCGTGATATTAGCTAATAACCTGCCTTTTCTGGGCCGTCTGTGTCGGATTTTGTCATATAACGGACTCCACCTGACCGTCTCCATTCAGGTGAACTCTGCCGCGGTAATGCTCGCAGGTCCATGGGCATTCAGTCATAATCTGCGCTCGTTTGCGCGGACCATGACTGACAGGATCGACCCACGGGGCTATTGCGGGCCGCGCTGAGCCCATCATACCGTGTGCGGTCGCTGCTGGGACGATGTCTCGGTCCCGACGGCGGTCAAAGAGTCGAGTAGGTCAATCGTCCGCGACCAATCACCGCTGGGGAAGCCGACGGGGTGGGGAGGGGGAGGTATATTCACCATTCAACTCGCCATGAACGTGAACCTGCATGAGCCGGGAGGAAAGGACACATACGCATAACGGCATGATGCTTTTATCGTTTTTCCGTGGTCCGACGAAATCATATGCAAGGAGCAATTTTCCCTATCACAACGTGACGTCATTGTAGCTTATGTGTTGAGAACGAATCATATTTATATGATTCGTTCTCAACACATAAGCTAAACACATAATTCACATAAACACATAATTCGTAATCATATTTATGTTTGTCGCTCGCCGCTACATAACCCAGGAGCCGAGGAAGAAGGGCTCGTAAAACGTCTCCCCCTGCAGTGCGATAACCAAATCGTGCCAACACGGCGTGGTTTAACTGGACCCAATGACTTCTAACCATTCCCTTGCTGACAAACGAAGAAAAGTATCCACCGATCATGCTATTTCAGGCCTGGTTCGCCGATCATTATCAATGAAGAGTATATCATCTATATTTCAAAACAGATAGGTAAGCGCTTGTTGGGCGTAATTTGTCCCGTATTGGTCAGTCCGTTCAAATGCTGGCATTCTGGTTTTTTTCAGAAGCCAAGGTGAAACCAATGTCGGGAATCCTGCCGGCAAAACGCGCTGAATTTAGCGATTCGTGGGTGGTGATTTTAATTGAGAATGACGCTGAGTGTAATCTAAATGGAATCCTGGGGAGCTTGTGGCGGACGCTAATGGGTTGGAGAGAGAGAGAGAGAGAGAGAGAGAGAGAGAGAGAGAGAGAGAGAGAGAGAGAGAGAGAGAGGGAGAGAGAATGAGAGAGAGAGAGAGAGAGAGAAAAGAGAGAAATAAAGAGAGAAAGATAGCGGAGAAGCAGGGCGGAGAGACTGATTACTGGTGTATTTCGCAAAGCGACTTTTGTGGAGCAAACTTGCCATCCGCTGAGTGCAGCTGGTTTGAGGCGAAGAGCGGCGGCAGTCCTAAGCTGAAAGCGTCTCAGAAAACCGTTCATCGGCATTAATCGGGTGGCGGCCCTGAACAGACTTGTGGCAAATATAGAAAACCCAGATTTGCCAAGGACGTCCCAAGGATCAGATAGAGCTTGATGCACTTATATAAGTAGAATAGACGTGCACCTCACTTACTTTGGCGTATTGATGTTTTCTCAGAAAAATGCACGTATGAAGCGCTTTGTGTTTCTTTGCCTACTTCAGTGGATTGCAAAGATAAAAGCTGCGTGCACAGCATATTTGTTGATATTGGTTTGGTTTTTCCACAACATCTATTCAGGGATGCGTGAACTGTCTGCAGAGAGCTTGTATCCGCCACAACAGGGACGTAGTAAAATCAAGGGATGGATCTAACGGAGAGTTGCGAGTAAGATCAACCTATGCCCGTTCAAGCTTGGGCCAAAGGAGATAACCACCGTGGAGGGACGTCCCGATCAGCTGTACCACCCAGCTGCGGGAGGTCGATCCAGACTTATCACAGAGGGCCAGGGCCCAGTTCATAGAAAGGCCAGTCGGCAAGTGTCACTTTGCCAAAGTGCCACTTATCAAAGGGACACTTTTGGGAACGTTGGTGCAGGTGTGTAAGGGTAGCTATATGAAGCCATTTGTAGGGTCGCCCTTTCCAATAAGTGTCACTTAGCAGCAAAGGGACTCTATATGAACTGAACCCAGGCCTCAGCTGCCTAGGCGCCGACGGGGGAGAGGGCGAACCGGGGGGAGGGGGGGGGGGTTGATCGCATAGGGTCAGTCCCCAGCTGTCCAACCGGCAAGGAGGCACTGCCCAGTACCCAGGTAACCACGGCTTTCCTTCGGCTGTGCCTCTCATCGGGGAGAGATCCCTGAAAATGCGACCGCTTAGGCCCGTCCCTTGCGGTACCTACCACCAGACAGGGAGGCTCTGCCCAGGGTGACCGCAGGGCGCGCTGTCGCTAATGGTCGACGGCACGACACGAGGCAGTCCGGGCGGGGTCGGTGCCGGCCAGGTCAGGGGGGGGGGGGGTACAGGCGACCACCTCTGTCCGAACACGAGCCAGCCTGATGCCGACTGACAGGAGTCTGGTGCCGCCGCTGTGGGTAGTGGTCCGGTGAGCTACGGCAGCCCGACAGCCGGACAGCGCTGAGTGCCACTGAGCTGAGACAGCCTGACGGCAGGGCACTGTGCCGAGCTGTGGCAGCAGGAGGGTAAAGTGAATTCAGTGAGCTGCGGCAGTCTGACAGCAGGGACTTTGGTGGACTGCGATGGACCATCAGTACAGCTTTGGCGAGGCCTGTTTGGGTGATGGAGAAAGTGTCGTCGAATTAACAGTAGCGCCAGAGAGGACTCAATTCAGGAGAGTGATTAAGTTGATTGCTTCGGAATTGACCTCAAACGATCCCCGTCCCTATATGCATTATGCATGTAAATGTTGCGGTGCGTTTGTGCCTCATCGTAAGCATCTATATTCTATACTCATTTTCGAATTTTAGACAAGACTCCTCAGCTTACCCCCTTTCCTGTATGCTACTATCCATGCGTTTCCACGCAGCGTGTATGCATTTATGCGTATGTTTACATAGTTTGTGTGTCCTTCGGTAGCATCTGAGAGATGATTCACTGTGAATAGACCCGGCCCACCCCGCCCTGCGCTCCGACCGTATCGCCGCCGACGTTCAGATGTATTGCTAACACGTTACCGGCCCGGGCGGTCGATGTTTGGACTGGCTCCGCTAGTTTGTGCAACCATTAGTCACCTCAAACGCTAATTAATCTCGGCCTAATCAGACGCGACAATCCACGACGCTAGCAGCCGGATAGATTCGTCTGTGTGATGTCATGTTGATGTTGGAGACGGTCGAATTTATATCCAGTACATCTCGTTCAGTGTAATATATTTTGTTTACCACTTGGCGCTCCGCATGTGTACAAAATACAAGAGAACACCATCACGAGACTCGAAATCTCCGAGACTCTTGCATCACTTCAACTTAGCGTCAAGGAATAATGCCCATTACAATGGAGTAACAGTAGCTAAGCACACCACTAACTTCTTATCAGTCTTAAGCACGCCGTGCGCGTGCCACTATGCACAACCTTCATATTTTTAGAATGGTCCCGCAGCTAAAAATGAACTCGCTCGATGTCGCAAGCAGTGGCACACCATAAAATAGCACAATGCCGTCCTACAAACATCGCCTACTCACTGTATCTGCAACCACCCTGCACCCGGGTGCAGCACCGAATCTCCGATCTATCAGATTCACGTCCGGTGTTTCGCGGACGGCCGTTGGCGTGGCCGGGCTGATGCGCCTTGACCTTGTCGACTTGTCTCTTCATTCACGACGCGTGGGCGGATCCAATCCGGTTCGCAGCACTTTTGCAGCATTATGTTAGGACGTTGCCGCCTGTCGCGCCGCGCCACCGCAGAGAGGGAATGCAGCAACAGAAATCCAACTGTCGGTATTCTGCCGTCGTCTGTGACATTGGGAGGCACCGGGCTCGACAAGGGACGTGACGACCAACTGAGTTCGGTATTTTTGGTCGTCTGTCGCATGCGCTGAAGGAAGGTTTTGCTTATCTGACGGTCCACAGTGTTTTTCCAACTCGGATGAGGTGAGAGTCAGTCGCGCTTTAGCTCATACCGGAGCGGCATTTGCATTGTTATACACATACTCAGCATACTTATGCTCAGCAGCTCGATTGGTTTAACGGTTAGACGACCCTTTCAATGTCAATCTCTGAAGCTCGCTGTCCGTCTGCCCATCTAGTGTCGGCGCGCGGACCGGGCCCGCCTCAGGTGGGACTCCTCGGCCACCACGGGGCCGCGACGCTCCTCACCCAGATCGGCGGCCCTTTGACCGGGCAACTCCGAGGAGCTGACCTCCTGCAGCTCGGAGGTCGCGCTCTGCGCCTGTTCGCTTCTCTCCACGGACTGGACGGCGTCCTTCGTGGCTCGCTCGGTCACCACTGGCGCCTGGGAAGTGGTGGTCGGGGCCTCAGAGGTTGAGGCCTCTGGAGTCATGACCTCTGGAGTCATGACCTCAGGAGTCATGACCTCAGGGGCTGGGGCCTCAGAGGCTGGGACCTCAGGAGCCGGGGCTTCAGCAGCCGGCTTGGTGTCGTCCATGGGCGCCACCGCCTCCACCTGTGCCGTCTCGACCTCGGCAGGCGGCTCGGGCGGCTGGGCACAGTCACAGGCCGGCCGGTCGTCGCGCGCCCACGAGAAGGCGCACGGCCGCGGCGGCGACAGCTTCTGGCCGCGCAGGTGCTCGAAGAAGCACGTCTGCTGCACGGAGAAGGCGTTCAGCACCTCGATGAACTTGTCGCCGCCGAAGGCGCTGTGCTCCTGCGCCAGCGCCGCCTCGGGTGTGCCGGGCGCCACGGTCGGGTAGAAGGTGTCGGGCTGGCAGACGGCGGTCAGGTCGGTCACGCACATGCAGCTAGTGAACGAGTCGAACCTCTGGCGGCGGAAGGCGCGGTACGGCAGCACGCCAAAGATCTGCGAGCACACCAGCGCCTGCGTGGTGTCCGAGACGTCGATGCTCTGTGTCACCTCGCCTGCGGACAAAGAAAGATAAGTCGTGTCAGATCAGGTGCGGGAAGAGCAGGGGCGCGGGAACTTCTTTCAGACTGGGGGGTGGGGGGCACACCATAATGTAGATCAACCTAGGCTACCCTCAAATCTATAGTTTTCTCACCGGTTTTAGGCCACTTATTATTTACCCCTTGGCTTTTTCAACGAAAAAGGAAGCATTTACAAACAAGTGCGGTATTCCGTCTCAAAATTATGGGGGCACCGCTCCCACGGCCCCAGAGTTAAGGGGGCAAGCTGCCTTAACTGCCCCCCCCCCCCCCCCGGTTTTCGCGCCTATGGAGAATGAAAAAAGTCCACAGTTCGCGGACATCAGGAGGCTCACGGCACTGACGGGACACATACAATAACGTTTGTGATTGATACGGTATTGTAGATCCGCTATATTTCAGTTGTCGTAGAGGATGAGGGGACTTCAAAGTGTTGGGAAATTACGAGCTAACCACGAATCCTACGAACAATATACTGATACGCTTATTGTTGGTTCTCATTGAACATTATGCATGTATTATTGGGACTTCTGAAACAATACACAATGAAAATATGTAGGTCATCTAATGTTCCGTTTCATTGTGTAGTAGTTACCTTTACATCGTTTTTATATCAATATAACATCGTGTTACGCGCTGACTCATCCATATTCAACTTTATGCGTGAATCTGTTTCTTATAAGAAAAACACGTCAGAACATTATAGAGAAACAAGGACATATAACGCACCTATACTGCTTACTACAGTACTCTACTTCCCTAGAAATATGAGAAATCAACAATCAATTAGATTAGTGAGTCATCACATTTTATATCCGGACGAATAGTCATCATCCAAGTGTTATCAGGACTGGGACATCCGCATTGAGCGGGTGCTTAGTTTTCCGTGCCTCCTACACCACTAAAAAAAAATCATCGTATAAACAAAGCATTGGTTACAAGGAGCGGATTCATTATCATAACTACATTATTTTAGTGAAAGCAAACGATTTGTTTCCCCGAATCTGTTGTATTGTGGCGTCTAGTCTTTGCAACACGGTTCGTGCACGGTAGGCGGCTATTCGGTTATCAATGCGAACATCACAGTGGTTTGTGCCGACCCTGCGCGGGAGCGAATTTCTGCTTTGTTTATGCGAAACGATGATGCTTGATTATTGTGGGGCTTATCTTGTATCCCTTATGCTGCATTGTTTTCGTCGAATCATTTGTCACTGAAGAAGGAAGAATAAGAATCAGTGTATCATCTGCAGCGGCTTGCAAGTGTAAACCAGATGCGTCGGTAGTTAGGGGCCAAAACTGAACATCGAGAAATATATCCAGCCACAAACAACTGCTTTGCAGACGCAGATTACATCTGACTGGAAACGCAACACTGCTCCTTTGTGACAGGACACGTCAGTAATAGCTGAGCCTGCCCTCTGTTGAATCCAGCCTCTGTCGTCGGCTCGACCCCACCCCATCCCACTCACTCCCACCCCCTCCCACGACTGTCTGCAGGTCGCCCACACTCCCATGAATCGACAGACTAACATCCCTGCCAGACGCCGACCCGTTATCGACAAATATATCCGCCAGAAAACTGCCGTGTCGGGTCCGGGAAAGGTGGCGGAGGTGCAGCGGCGACTCAGGCAGGAGTGTCGTGTCGGACGATCACCGGCTACCGGGGCTGGTGACCGACGGGACGCGGCCAGCCCGGTACTCGGAAGGATGGACAGACCACCGAGCGGCACCTCTGCCCTACCTGTGCGACACACCTCGGCCGTTACGACCACCGCCGCAGCCGCCGCAAAACAACGCTCCCTTTGCGCAACCGACTGGACTTTTGGACGGAAAACAGGGAGGGCGTCACGCGATTAGGAAGCTGTTCTGCGAGTTCCAGCGGGGGAGGAGCGGTCTCGAGGATTTGTGTGCTGCATCCATCTTCGTCTCTGAGATATCTGGAATGGGAGGGCTATTTATACTGGTATGGAGGTGGTTCCTACTTTCTGATGTTTCCAGAGCCGAAGACTCGAACGTTCAGTGATAGTGAATCCAGTTGTGTGCTCTTTCCTGTGTTATGGTACCACAGTTTTCCTTCATTTTACACCGTGATTGTGGACTCATCTATCGCCGATGGCGCTAGAGACAGCAGTGACGTCAGCACAACGTGACGTCATTTCTGACTCAAACGGCATTGGCTGCTCCTGTCAGTTCGTCGACCCTTCACACCCAAACAATATTGCATAGAGGCGCTTCGTGCAGCTGATGAATGTTGAGACGAAAGTGGCCACTCTCGATGCCGCCACGGCATCCAACTCAGCATCCTCCCGCAATATCGAATAAGCCAGCTGTCAGCCAGTGGGCTGATGACGTCACAGAGCAGACGCTGAGATTGCTGACGTCACACGCCATTTGCCGGCAGCGTCTCAGGCAGCTGATGCCGGAGCGCAGATGACGTCCGAAAGGAGACAATAGATTGAACGGCAGACGGCCGAGGGCAGAGCTCGGTTAGTGACTGGTAAATGCTGTTGGGTTTCAGTGGTTACCAGGCTACGGCGGTGGAGGATCGGCTCCCCAAGAGCAGCAACTCCGATTCGGGAAAGTAATGCGGCATGGTCACGCAGGCACAACGGACGGTAATTGAAAACAATGGTTGGCGCGCGCGCTGGTTCGGGGTGTGGGTCAGCTTATAACCTTCACCGAGTAACCGAGCGAACCCGAGCCGAACGGGACACCGGGAGATGGATTAGGTTTGGGCAGGAATTACGTACATGCATTTTAGATAATGTGGCACGATTAGGAGCATTACATGGATTGCCTACACTTCGGGGAATACAAGGGTAGGCTGGCTATCAGTTAACTCAGAGTGATCACGCATACATGCACAATGTGCGCCGCCGTTTTTGGCACATCTGTTCATGCCTCTTTTACACACATGTTGTGAAAATTTTAGACCCAGGTCGCTCAAGGTCAGGTCACCAGGTCACGTCAAGTGACCTCACCAGAAAGTTCGGTGTATAGCTCGACATAGCTATACACCGACTGAACGATCGCCTTGAAACTTCCAGCCATTGATAAGAGTAACAGTATGTATAAGATGCATAGCTCGGAATATTTATATCGGTGACCTAAGGTAAGGTTATTTTTGTGCCCTGTCCATTTTGTCAATGTGAGAAAATTGAAAGGCGTCTCTTTTGGACGAACGCCATTCTAGACACTCTCAAACATCGGGATACAGGTAAACTTGACACTGAATAGGAAAATTGCACCTGTGATCCCTGCATATGTCCCCGAGGTCATATCCTGTCATGAAAGGTTCCCAGCAGTTTTTTGCAATACCTTTAAACAGAGCCGTGCTAGAGTGATGAAAGAACTTTTGTGTGTTGATGTCGACGATACGGATGGACTGATATGCAACATGACCTTTTCCGGTGAGGTCAAGACTTGACCTTGGGTCAACTTTAAGAAATGACCCTTCAATGTCGAATTATAGTTCATTTATTCGACGCGTCTCGACGAGAGGAAGACGATGCTGGCAAAATAAATGTTGTGCCCTTCTTGAATCAAAGTTTTTTTTTTTAAATATATTTTTGTTAACCGGCTATTTTCGAGTTTATGCCGTCTGGAGGCTTAACCGTTGGTCCTAGGTCAAATTGGAGAGCTTTGTTCCAGAAAAAGCGTTAAGAGGGCTATCGAACGCGCTTTTCCACGGCGCTGTAGCTCAAACGGTTCCCGAGTTATGTGCCGGCTTTAGGGAAGATGTTCAAATATGCAACATTTTACCTTGACCTCTGGTGACCTGACCTTTGAACTGACCGAAAAATTACCCGAGTATTTTCGTCCTGATTTTGGACGCTCCCTCGAATGCCGCTTACCTCGTGTCGCTAGTGCTACGTAGCCCAGGAGCAGAGTTAGAAAAGGGAGTGTTCAAACATCCCCCGGCCCGGCGCGGTTAGCGCCGAGCACGTTCCCGACGCGGGTTAAATTGTAAGCAAGAATCGTGGTGCATATCTTGGAGGTCTTACTGGGGTCAGAGTCATTGGGATGGTGGGTACTAGCTGGACAGTGGACATTTCCTGGTGTGGCACGATATCGCCACGTCGGCCATGGAGGCTCGAACTGAACATTTTATATTTATTTATTCAGAGCTGGACGCGAACTGGTTCCACTTTTATTCACCAGTTTGTCCCCGGTGTGAGCATTGCGGAAGCTACCTTTGCTTGTTAGCTTTTGCTTTGCTTTACCTTTGCTTTGCTTGCGGAAGCTACTTTTGCGGAAGCTATCGTTGCTACTGACTGCAAACTGCTAACTGATCTTTGGAAGCTGATGGTGTGTATCTGGGGATGGCTCAAGAAGAGTTTTGGTTAGTTAGCCCTAACACCCGCTGGCTCGGGTCCGTCCGTCTCACGGTACCTATATAGCTAGGACGGAGGTGCAACAATTTCATGGTTGCATGAATGCATCTCTAAGCACCCAGGCACGAACCACGGTCACACGTTGACGGAGAGATTACCGAGCTTTTTCTGACATGAAAATAATTCTGAGATAACCAGCTACATCGAAAATTTGGCCGACGGCCGACGCAGAAAACGACCGATCCAGCGCGCTGAAGTCGTAGGCTTGTTTTCTGATAGCTCTGGAAGTGAATTTAATCTTAACGACATATACAATAAACATATTGTGACCTCATGAATAAAACAGTGCATGTGATGTTATTAACGCTCTAAATGTTTACTCTTTACTGGGTATATTAAAAGCGTTTAAAGTCTATATCAGGATTATTTGTCGTGTGTCAATGTGGAGTGTTGCGAGAAAATAATCAAACGTGAAACGATCTTCTTACATAACCATTCAAACATAACACCTAAACGATGCCGAAGCGGTTCGAATCGGGTCGTACCGGTCGCTTCAGGGATTCATTACGAAACTCGTCATTTTTTCATCACTGTAGGCATTTTTTTATTTGCTTTTGTTAGTATGCTGCTCGCACGCTGCCATACCGGTGGCAATTTGCGTCTCTATTTCATGTTGCAGAAGTTTTCTCAGAGAGCTGAGTGACGCCAGCGAATGGCATGCACAATGTCATCAGTAGTCACGGGCCTTGGACACGACCTACGACGGCCACATCACCCGTTTGCACAATGGTAGCGTAAGGAAAACCGAGATGGCCGGTTCTTTCTCAGCGCTTTGATGATTCATGATTGCGATGTCGCTCTTTTGGCCTTGGGTAATACTTGGGTGGGGAGAATTGAATAGACGAAAGGTGGTGTACTGTATGCACACATATGTTTTGCATTTTAATCATGAACTGCATTTCTCATCAGCTCTATCGTCCTCCGGCCTCTGAATACGTCACATGAGTGAGCCCTTTCTTCACTTTCGCATTCCTCCGAGACTCTTTGTTAGTAAGTTACTTGTAAAAATAGCAGGGGCAGGAAAATGACGAACGTTTATGCACCCATGGGTGAAGGTCACCAGGATGTCTGGGGACAATGGCTCCCGACAACGGTCACTCTGAGTGACTTGAGATCGTACCTCGCCGAAAACAGGTTTTTGCTTGCCACTACAATAAACAATTTAGGAAAATGCAGCGATTACTTGAAACACGTAAAATGTCAAGTTCCCTTGTTGAACTGTCTCAATATGCAGCATGTAAACGTGAATATTTAAATTCTGTCCTTTGTGCTAACAAACGGCTGAACGTGAGTCTAAATGTGCGAAAATTGGCGGTTTTCGGACGGCCCTGCTTTCCCTGCGGCCTGCGTGCCACCTCAGAGCTCACCCGTGGCCTACTAACAGCCCCCAGTTCGAGCTGAATGCAATATCTGGCCAGCAGTTATTCACCGCGGCATTTATAGCTCCATACCTCCCTGCAATCGAGCGGGCCATTCGCTGGGAGCTCGGGGGATTCGTTTTACCCGCGGCGCTGCCGAGATGCCGGGTGCCAATGGCGGTATTGACAACATAAGCGAGACTCACATATTGACGTCTTTTTGAGTGGTGATTGCCTTATGTAACAGGTATCGGTAAAAGAAAATGAGCTAGCATTGATGCATCTAGGACACAATAGGAGCCTATACTGGGTCTTATGTCCTTAAATCTACATACCTAGAAGACGCAAATTGCTTTCTCGTTATGTGATATTCATAACAGCAACATTGTATCGCAATGATACTAGCATACGGAAATAATAGCTCAGTTTTGATTTATTGAGACACAATAACAAGAATCTGGGAAATCTGCAAGATATAATGTTGTTTACGCAATACGCATTGTTCCCGTGATGCCTAACTATACCTACACCACGTTATTGCTAGAGGACAATTATGTCTGATATCCTGAAAATTTACGGACTTACATTGACAATTATGGTCATTATTTAGGCGTCGATGGTGTTTGATTGAAATATAATGGGAAAAGGGAGTCGCTCAGCGTCTTTCAGTGACTAAACTATGCGAAAACGTCCTTTGTGATGTAGGTACAAATAATACCATAGTGCAACTTCCAAATTACAACTCAGCTCCAAGCATAATTTCCAGGATCTCAATGCTGAACTTTCTGTACAATTCATTTCCTACGCTTTCAATCTGGTACCGAGCTATTCTTGAGCCCAACAATAAATGATGGTAATGAAAACGGCCATTGTTTCTGAACCATCCACACAATGAGAGCTTCTGTGCTGCTAAATGGCACAATGGACCCGGCGAGCTCCTTGATACAGTCATCTGCAAGCGCAATTTTCCAAGCACACCAGCCATATTTCAGCGCTCCTAAATATACGGGGTGGGTATAACGGTTATTGAACTGTCATTGCCAGCTGCGACCAGCCGCTCTCGGGCTATCGGAATATTCTGCCGGCGCCCAATAACGGAGACGGCGGGAGTGGGCCGGCCGTCAGCGTATAGTGTATACGGACGGCATGCAATGTGTACGGACAGGCTGGGGCCGGCTGTCAGCGTATCCTTGGTGCATACGGACGGCGGGATGGGACCGGCCAACTGTTTGCTTTCGGTTGATCGAAGGACAGCGCAACTTGATTTTTCTGTGGTGATGTAGTTCATCAGGTGTTGGAAATTCAATCATTTTTGTTGATGACTATCAGTCGCGTCAAGCTCTGTTGTAGTGACATCAATGCCTGATACCTCAGTATCTAAGTCTATCCTCATAAAAGAGAGGGGTGCTTAGAGTGGCATGACGTTCTCACTCGGTTTAAGTGGTAGGTACTTTATTTCTCATCAGACTATGCATGTCACGAAGAGATGCGAATCCGTTGACCGTTATCAGTTTCTCGTGACAGCTGTGATATGCAAACATGACGATATTTAGTGACATCTGCCACATGAGTGTGACGGATAGATTTCAGCGTGTCCTCTGAGGCAACTCTTATCATGACTGCTCTTTATCACATGGGACCTGATCTTCTTGGAAACTGAAGGCTCCAAAACACGCATTTACTTTCTCCTGGAGTCGTAGATCACGTTTCACTTTCAACCCGAGCCGCACATAGTGCGCGATGTTGCGCTCAAAGGCGTGTCGCGTCGCACATGAAAGGGATAAACGATTATCCTCCTCGGAGATAAACGATATGGGCATGTAATTATCTAATAAGGCATTGCAGTTCTCTCGAGGCCTGAAGTCGTCAATTCTGGCTCGGTTTGCTATCATTGGAAAAAGAAAAGGAATTTTTAACTTTATCGAAGTGGAGGATGAATGATAAACTACTTGTTCAAATGCTGCTTCGTACATGCCTGTTGCAGACTTCATTCGGTTCTTTTGCGGCAGCCAGTTAGCGAATGTGGTAAGCTATCTCTAGCGTTTGAGTAAATGGAGGACCGCACCAACCCACCTTGGTGTGGTTGTTTAAGGGGCTTTCACACTGAGAGGTATGCTAGACACGCGTGTTTGGCGCGTGCCGTCAGCGGCTCACCTGCGGGTGGCACAGTTGCTCTCAGCAGCACCTCGGGCGCCGCGATCTGTTTCCTCTGCGCGATGTTGGTCCTCTCGGCCGGCGAGGCGGGGGCGGGGGCGGGGGCGGCCAGCGGCAGCAGCAGGGCCGCCAGCAGACAGTGGGCGCGCAGTGCCATCGTGCAGGGCTCAGAGGTGGACTGCGAGCGCCGCTGAGTTCGGGGGCCGACTGAGCGCGGTGTGCCGGCCGGTCCAGCGGCACCCCGCTCAGGTGGGCAGGTGGCGCCGTGCCGCGGAACGGGCCGACCCGACACCCTGGACCCGGCCGGCCGGCGCGGCGGCAGCGGGAACCCCGGCCCGAGCTCCGCGCTTGCCCGACGACCTCAGCTCGGCCTGAGGCGAAATGGGGCGCGGTGTTTACAGTGGATAACGTCGAGACGTGTTCTTAGTACTCCGATTCTGAAAGAAATGCCGCAACTTTGAATAATCATCGCAACTTGACATAAGCTGACGTAAACTACAAATATCTTATCACACAACCCTTTATTCAATGCCGCCCCACCCCCACTGCTTAACCGAAAACCCAGCGGCCAAACCGCGGTGGTCGTCCGGTCGAGCTAAGCCTGCCTCTGTCAGTGTAATTCGGCTTACTGGGGCAACGTCCGCGGCTGACGGTCGACGGCAGTCGCCGCTGCCGGAGAGACGGTCGGAATATAATCGGATAAGCACGCCGCGCCGGCTCTGTTGGCGCCTTGTCGGCTGTCAGCGTGGCTGTTCTCGCTCGGAATCCTCCCGGACTCCGAGAGGACGTCACGGACTCTGAGAGGACGTCACGGACTCGGGAGGGATGCTTGCGGCCTGTCCGCGGCGCAATGGGAATCGTGAGCCTCGCGTTTACATTGAGGTGACATACGATCTCGTGATTATTTTACGAGGTAGCTGCCCATCAATGGTCAAGCTGCTTGCATATTCAGTGGTTTCGGGAAGTCCTAACCGTTCATCGAAGTCTTTGCATTGGTGCCAGTACGGTATGAATAATAACACGAGCGTTCCTACACTTTGATCTCACCTACTAATCGATCGCTTGAACTGAAGTTTGAACGCATAAAGTGGGCGCCAGCAGTCAGCTATTTTATTGTAACTATGGAAATTATAAACATTTTTGATTTATTAACTGTACCCCTTTCTTGTAAACCTGGGCCCGGTTCTTATAGAAACACTTACCGGTAAGTGTCACTTGGGCCAAAGTGACACTTATCTTAGGGCGACTTGAAGTCTCGGTTCTTATAGCCACACTTAAAGCCTCCCTATGATAAGTGTTACTTTCCTTAGGGAGACTTTGAGTGAGACAAGCAAAACGAACTTTGCATCTCTAAAATGTTGTCATTTCTGGTCATTTCTGGCAAATCTGTCCATTTTAGGAAGCAGTCACGTGCAATTTGTTCAATTCGTACTTTGGATATGCATATGACCGAATATTCGAATAAGAACCAATACGTTGAGATGCAGTTTTATATTTACCTTTGACTCTTTGTTGTTGTTGTTGTTCTTTGGAAATTATTAACGCCATTGACAAATAGCACTTAACCCGCGCCCCGTACCGCCATCGGCGGACCCTGCCACCCGTAGGGGGGTGGGGGGGGGGGGCGTTTCCCCCTATGATCTTGGAAGGTTACCGACCGATTTTCAAATTTTAAACGGCATTCGATAGCTCCATCGGGGAACTACCTTGTAACCAAATTTCATTGATCTAGGTCCAAATGATGAAGTCACGGGTCAGGTCAAAGGTCATATTTTCACCGTTTAGAGGCCTAATTCTAAGGAATGCGTTATAACATCGAGCAAAAGGAAAGTTATCCCGCGCCCCGCGCGCGGGGGGGGGGCAGAATCTGCCCCCTCCCGTTTTTCGCCAATAACTTCCAAACGCGTTACGCCAGCGACGTCAAACTTTCAGTACCTTATTATACATCAATTTGACACGTTCCCTGAAAATTTGAGCGAAATCCGTCGGAAATTTTTGAGAAATTGACGGTTTAGTGACGTCATGTTCGCCATTTTCGCCTCAAAAACGGCAAAATTTCAAACGCCGCTAACATCTTCATTGTTAAAGGAATCAAGACGTAACAAAAAGTTTATAGGTACGTGATTCTACTTTGTCTATTAACCCTATTAGTGGCAGGCTCCTGGCTACCCCATATTAGTGGCAGGGGGGGGGGGGGCTGTTTACGACCCCCCTTGATATCTCGAGATCTAACCGGCTGATTTTCAAAATTCAAACGGCATTCGATTTGGCTCAACGAGATCTACATTTCTAAAAAAAATAAAATTAAAAAATGTCAATAGGGGGTAGAGGGGGGTAAAAACGGGCAAATTGCAGATACATTTTAGACTGTTTATCACGGCCAGGTTTCTGAACCAATCTTAACGCAACTTTTGCCAATCGATAGAGAATGAACCAGGAATTCACATGGATCCTAAAAATATGCATTTTCAAAAATCATAGGCGGATACAGATCATTGAGGTTGGGGGTACACAAAAAGTATAGTAAATAAGGTTTTTGTTGGTACTGTTTCTAAAAAGGGTGGCAATGGTCTTGTTATGTTACAATTTTCTTATGAGAGAACGACTAAAATTGTATTGGTCATGCATAGGCGGTGTCAGGGCACCTATGTTGGGAGGTAAAAATAACCCCCCTTTTTGGACGCCTGGATCCGCCTATTATAGCAAAAACGTGTCAAAAGAGGATGCACAATAACTTTATATATGTTATCCATGGGCGTCGAAACCGGGGGGGACGGGGGGGACGCGTCCCCCCCAGTCGAGGAATCCGGGGGGGACGTCCCCCGCAAAAATATCCTCATGAATGATTAAAAAAGTGATCAACGAAATTGGTGTATTGTCGTTTTGGGATGAAATTGCGGATACCTACTCGTATACAAATTGAATCATGCGAATTGCTGACACTGCACTTGCTTGCAGGGCTGCGGAGTAGATTGATTTTGGTAGCTCTGACTCCGGCTTTTAAAAAATCGCTCGGAGTCCCCACCCCATCTCCGATCACGGCATCCCTCGGCCCGCATCGGAGTGAAAAACATGTGATGTGATGCTTTTGTCTCTTTGAACATTTCTTGGCACGTTAAAAGATAACATTACCTACGAGGTGCAGCTCTGGACTGTCCGTCCCAGGTCCTCGATAGGGAGCCAAAGCTCCAGTTGTAGGGGCGACCATATTCAACAAGGGCTGAAGATCTGTCCCAAAGTCTCAAGCTTGCAAAGACCACACATTTTATGTAGGATATTCGTAATAGTCAAGACCTTCAGCTCACTCTCAAACGGCCCTCTTCCCGTTCAAGGCCATCCGACAGCAGAAGGTCTCACCATGTCCTTTGAACGCTTGATGCTTGAGGGTGAGAGGACCTCGTCCTGGTCTGAGAGAGCCCAGGAGGATGTAATACTCAGTATGGTCCTACATTGGTCTTACCATGACCCGGCCTTCAATCACCACAGCCAACAGAATCTCCAGCTTTTATCCGACCCATCCTCGGGGATGACGTTGACTCTGACTTCAGAGTTGAAGTCTGGTACGACTTTGGTGACTCCAACTCCGTATCCGACCAAAACCGTCGACTACGACCGAAGTCGACTCCGACCCCGCGGTCCTGCAGCTACACTGCACAGAGTTTCCAACTTCTTGGAAATAAGCTGTACCTATGGTTGACAGAGGACCACACGATTTTTTAGAGGCAGGGCTGCTGGACTTGGTGACCAGATCCTAACTGTCCTGGTATCAAACTTATTACTCGGGATGCAAAATTTATGCGTTTTGGGACTGTTTTGCCAAGAGTTTTTGCCAATTTTCGCGGCGCTTCGCGCCGCCAATTCATGCACAGATAGAAAAGAGTGTGACTAATAACGCCTCCACGCGAGAACATGAGAACATGTGTATTGTGTATGCGTTATAAGTAGTGCATAGGCCTGAAATTGTACGGTAACTAGCTTTTGGGTTTTTAGTCAGCCAATCCGTCCCCCCCAGTCAAAAATCCGTGGCGACGCCCCTGATGTTATCACATGATACCTTTCATTCACTGTTCGTAGAACTGGTGCAGCATCGTGATCTTCGCCCAAATGACTCGCTTCACGAATAGGACCCCCAATTCCCAGTGCTCTGGAGCCGCCCCTGGTAAAGTTATGAACTTGAAATTTTCAGGGAATGTGCCGAATTTAGTTTTAGGATAAGTCAGAAAATTTCAGCAACGTAGCTTCAGCGGGTTCGGAGATATTCCCGAAAAACCTGAGGAGTGGATAAAAACAACCCCCCCTGCCACTAATAGGGTTAAATGGCTATCTCGGTTTTTGAAAATTTTGGATTTTGGCCCAATTTTTTTCAAAAAACTTACTTTTTTGGGAAAATAATTAAAAATCCAAAATTTTGAGTGTATCGAAAAACCGGAATATATGTCAGAAAAGTGGTCTATGTGCATCTACATACCAATTTTTAGAAGAATCGGTTCAAAAATGTGGGAGTTATTCAAAATTTTATGACGTCACGACACACAAATTTTTTGAAAAAAAAGATTTTTTTTGGAAGTTCTAGACCTCGTACGGAAACAAAAATAGCACCATTCGATTCGCCGTGAAAAACTGCATCAGATAGACACCTTTTTAGGCCTTCTTCCAAACTTCAAAATTTGACCTTACTTGACCTCGACCTGAAATTCATCCAGAGGTGGTCCATATCACTTATTGAGTGGCCTATTGAATTTTATGAGTAAAATGACCCATAAAACATGTGTCGCACATGCCCTTTTCTATATTTTGTTTTTGGTGACCTGACCTGACCTGACCTGACCTTGACCTTGACCTTTGAATGACATTGTATGCAACGAATATTGTCTTGGTAGTCTAAGAACACGTTTTGGGCAATCAGTCTCAGTCCATTCTTCGGCAACTACGGTGCAAGGCCGATACTGTAGAAACTTGCATTTTGTACCCTTGACCTGACCTTGACCTGACCTCTGACCTACTTGAGTTAAAAAAAATTGGGCTCTTAAGATCCGCCTTGTTGAGAGCTTTCGATTGCCGTTTTCCCCGTCTTTCTACGACCATCGGTTCGGAAGTTAGACAGGGGGGCAGAATCTGCCCCCCCCCCCCAGCAGGGCGCGTATGGCTGAATAGCCCAGCGGGGCGCGGGTTATCGTAAATCATCGATAAAGCGTTAGTTGCCTGATACATAACGACGCATTTTTTTCCAAACCCCATATCTGTTCTCCCTTGAATTTCCGGGAGGCGCGAATAATCCCATTTAAAAAGTGTCCAATCGGCCCAGCCGTTCTCGAGATCTGGAAGCGGCACCCTGCACGTGCGCACGTGCAAAATGGTTCCCAACTGGCTTTTGCACACGGCACTCTACTAACCGGTCCCTAACCATGTACCAAATTTCAGCACAATTCGTTCAGCCGTTCTCGAGATCTGGAAGCGGCACCCTGCACGTGCGCACGTGCAAAATGGTTCCCAACTGGCTTTTGCACACGGCACTCTACTAACCGGTCCCTAACCATGTACCAAATTTCAGCACAATTGGTTCAGCCGTTCTCGAGATCTGGAAGCGGCACCCTGCACGTGCGCACGTGCAA